ACGGACAAGGCTGGCCGCAGTGTTGGAAGCGAACGCCGACATTGCAGACAATGCACGTTGTCGCTAGAGGGGAGTGAAGTGACAATGCCGGTGACTCGCGAGCAGGCTAGGAGCATGAGACGATCGACACGCAACTTTGTATCCGAGCGATGGTTACCGTATGTCGATGAACAAGTACAGAAGTGGTTGAAGCGATTACGAAGCGGACCACTCCCACGACGGATAATCTTCCCTTACTTGCAGTTCCAACGTTTGATAGTGAGGGTAAGGTGAAGAAGGTGCGGGTATGTCTGGACATGCGAGTGGTCAACGCACTGATTCCAGGAGACCAGTTCTTGATACCGAAGGTGAATGAGATCATTTCACGACTGAAGAGCAGGAAGTACTATACCACACTCGATATATCAGCAGCATATCATAAACTACTGATACACCCAGATTCTAGATACCTATTAGTTTCACACACGATCGACACCAGTACTCGTTTACATCAGCACCTTTCCGGCTGCACGTATTGACGCAACAATTCCAACGGACACTCAGTACGATACTAGATGGACTACCAGTCCACCACTACATTGACGATATTGTGATTGTTAGTGACGATTATGAAGAGCACATCGCTATAGTGAAAGAGGTGATTAGAAGATTGACGTACCACAGTTGCAAACTGAATCAAGTGAAGTGCCCTTTTGCACTTGCAGAGGCTATGATACTAGGAAAGAATGTCTCAGCAGCAGGGATTGACGTTGACTTTGAGAAGCAGGCTAAACTCCTCGACTGGCCAACACCTCAGCGATACAAGGACATTGTCTCCGCGTTGGGATTAGCTAACTTCTTGCACGAACACCTACCCAATATCGCACACGTGGTAGCCCCTCTACGGGAGTTTTGCAAGCTGAAGCCGAATGAACTGATCGGGGATAGGTGGGAACAACGCCATGCGGACGCGTGGACAGCGATGAAGGACGCGATAGTCAACGCGGTCGCACTACACTTCCCGGTGGATGACGTCCAGACGCGAGTGACTACGGATTGGGGCGCGCGCTGTTTCAGTGGGTGGAGGGCAAGAATTCAGCAAGACACTCAATCAGGCTCAACAGAACTATGCGATACCAATGAAGGAACTTCTAGCGTTGGTCTACGGGTTGACACACTTCCGCGACTACCTTGACTGCCAGCGCTTTGCGGTATTTACGGATCACAAAGCATTAGTATATATGAATACTCAACTGAAGCCTAATCCTATGCTACAGAGAAAAACTTCACCATTTCACATATACCTGGGGAGAGGAATGTCCTGCCGGATATGCTGAGTCGTAAACATGAAGGGACCGCGGAAACAGACGTTCCAGAGATACTATATGCAGACTGCTGGCAATTATTTCCCAGCTACTTCGAACAAGCACAGCGTATCTTTGGATACAACAACATAGACGTGTTCGCAGCACCCCATTACGCACAGCTTCCTAGGTTTTGGACAAAGAACGAGCGCGACGGTGCATTTGATCATAACTGGGCGTTGGTTGACGGATGGATGAATCCGCCGTGGAGATTGATACATCACATGATTCGGAAGATCAAAGCGGATGGGGCTACAGCGACGGTTTGCTTACCTTGGACACCTCGCGCACCGTGGTTTGACTTTTCAAATCATTACTACAAACCGAGCCAGTGTTAGTACCCCGGACCCCGCATACATTTTTAAAGTATGCGAAGTATGCCTGTGGGAAGACGCCGTGGGGACACACGGTCGTTGCACGAGTGGGGCCGCCGTCAGGTTTCCAGCTCGCCGAGAGCTTTACACAAAGATTAGGCTATGCCGAACCTCGACACACACCATACCATCAGTGTTTGGATACGGCACGAGAGATTTCCGTGGCGTTAGCTAGTGAGGAGCACAACCGGCCTTTGCGAATGCCACACTGATGGAACAACAACGGCGTACACAACTCACACAGGCACAGCATGAGCAAGGCCACCACGGCGCTGCCCATACTGTCCAACAGTTACAACAGAACGGCCACGTTTGGCTGGGGGCATTGGAACTGGCTACAGAAATTAAACGGCAGTGTGGACAGTGTTTGGACCAGGATACTCTACGTAAAGGCTTCCATCCGATGATAAGCATTGATGCGAAGTACCCTTGGGATCACATTCAGGTGCGCTATATTCCAATGCCGGTAACGTCCACAAGACAGAATAAATTTGTTCTCCATGTATTAGACGTGGCTTCCGGCTATTCGATTTTACGTGCTACACCATATAAGACTAAAGAAACCACCGCGCAGATGTTGTTGTCTATCTTTGGCGAACATGACTTTCCTCGCAAGCTACAGACGGATATGGGTAATGAGTTTACGAACAACATGGTCGCCCTCATTGTCAAGGCAGTGGGGATACTTCACAAAGTATCACCACCTTATAGACCACAGGTGTTGGGGGCAACGGAACGTCAGCACAAGGAGATAACACGTTCGATACGCATCGTCTGTGAGGCAGTACCCCAAGCATGGGACGAACGTCTCCCTTTTACTATGCTGTACCAGTACTTGCGTTACGCCGTTTAGTGTTTATTTCGGACGTCGACACGTGCCGTTTGCGGATTTCACCGATGACTTCCCAGAGCATCAACTGGTTACTAATGACACATGGGCACAACGGTTGGACCAGCTCCTGGATATAATTTTGCCTGCACTGCATAAGATCACTACGACCTATACGGATGAATTGACGAAGACGTTTAATAGGTTACACGCCCATGACTTAGTCCATTTTGATGAAGGCGACGTCGTGATGGTGAAACCGGAGGGGCGAATTTCCAAAGCCATGCCCACTGTTTGGCCCATATGTAGTTAAAGGCCGCAACGGTCAAGGTTATGACCTTACACATAGAGATGGGTCCACTCTCCAGGAGTTTAAGGGGAAGCCGGTACGGGTTGAGTTACTCCGGTTGGTCCACCGCAGTACATACCCACCGTTGAACGATGATCTTTTGCAAGAAGGCGGGTCAGCGTTCCGTCACATCATCAAACATAGGACGAATGATGTTACTGGTAAACTCAAACGTGGGAAACGGCCGAGGCCTTTGTCGACGCTAATGACATTGTGGCATATCACAAAGATACACAGACACGAGCTCGGAAACGCCGGAGAGACCAGTTATAGGTAGAAGATGCTTTGTTAATAGATATAATTTTATGTTACGTGTACTTACAGTTTAGTCACCAGCTCGAGTGGTGAACAAATAGCCGAGCCCTCTAGCTCTCTGAGGTTAAATGCCAGCACAATGCTCTAGCTCTCTGAGGATAAATGCCAGCACAATGTCTAGCTCTCTGAGGTTAAATGCCAGCCCTCTAGCTCTCTGAGGTTAAATGCCAGCACAATGCTCTAGCTCTCTGAGGATAAATGCCAGCACAATGCTATAGCTCTCTGAGGATAAATGCCAGCACGTAACCGCTTTCAGGGCATCCCTTCAATCTTTTAAGCTCGCACACTTGTGGTGTTTCAGCTTGGGGGGGTTGTAGTCAGGAAGTCCCTGATATGGTTTATTTAGGATTAGGGTTTATTTGATATTTGGGGTTTGTATCCAATTAGGTTAAAACTGATTAACGGAAAACACATGACCAAAATGATAGTCACAGGATTTAGTTCAATAAATGAACAACGTTTCCCCTTGTACGAGGGGAGTACGTTGAGATACAAATATCCTCGACTACTTACTACATCAGGCAACACGTCACAAAACTACATAATGTATACTAGGAAGTGGGCAGACCAACCGAAGTTTTAAGAAATAGGAAATGTAATGGCAAGATATGTACACATATTGGTATCCATACGCAACAAAATAGAAGTTAGGACTCTGAAGGGGTTATTTATCAGAAATTACGGCTCTGGAATCGCGCCGCAGTGCTCTGCTGTGCGTCCTGAATGTCGGGACTCAACAACTGTAGAAGCTCGTGAGTCTTCATTAACTGCCATTTGAAATGCAACTGTAGAGTGCGTTCATACGTACGGCCGTTGAGAGCTTCCTCTAACAGTTGAACAATGCAATGGTTTTATAAATTCTGTTGGAAATCTGCATACGTCTGGCACCGTTCACGTGCCCTCCTGTGATTCTCCATGAGCTGTGCCATTTGTTCCATGATGGGGGTATGCATGTTTCGACTGTGGCCCTTGGCAAACTTACGAAACGCGGGATCAACAGTGGCTTACGTCTCATGTGAGCAAATCTGTTCGATTTGTGGTTGTGGCGTCCACATATTCAATCGTTCAGAATTGAAAGTACGATAATACCTTGTAGAACCATGTAAGGCTCCAACTCTCATATAACCCTGCGATCTCCGCGTTCTTAATAGCCTCCAGAATAGCCCCTCTCGTATCCCGTTCCATGATGTCCTGGAGGTGGTATTTGTTCGAGGGCCAGTCGGGCCATGTATGTGGTGATGGTACCGGACGCTTTTCCACTGGACGGGACTCTAGCGTGACTCGAAGTGTTTCAATCGCACCCCTAATGGCTTCAGCTCGAGCCGTATTATTATCCTCTATTGCTTGGCATAACTCGTCGCTCAGGTGTAGTATACGTGCATGTAAACTCTGTCGACTCTTCTCAATACTCGCCGGCGTGGGCGGAGGTGCAAGCGACGTTGTCTTGTCCTTTCGCTTGAGAGTCTATACATGCTCACTGGCGGCTTCCCTCTCGAACGACTGTCGCTGTTGATGTTGGTGATAGGTCGTGCTCATCTGGTCTTGCCTATTCTTGAGCGCTTCCTTCCCATGTGGGTTTTGCTTGGCCAACCCTTGCTCACGTGCGAATTCTTGGAATGACGGAGCCTCCTCTAGAGACGACAAGGTATCTTCCTCTTCGGAGAGTTGACCTTCTGACCAAGGTGATTCGTACCCGAGGCCATGGTGTTGTTGTGAATGGCCTTGGATCCGAAACGTAGGATTTTCCTCCCTACCTTGTGCGATAGGCTCCCGTTTGTGTGGACTAGTCGACGCTTCGTTTGCGCACAGCAAGGTCGTGGGTCGTTCGGACGATGTACGCTGCAACCTCTGTTCGTACCTCTCTAAGAGCGACTGTTGTTGGGCCATACGCTTGGTTGGCTTCTTTGTCGATGACTGGCCCCGACCGTGCCCTTGTTGTTGGAACGACGGCGGTCACGACTGCTTTTGTGAGGTGGTAGGCGTGGTTGCTTGATACCGGAAGATGAGGCTCCAGAGATACCCGAAGACGAACGGGAAGGCAGTCCATCACTAGCTACCTATTCACTAGTAATGGACTGCTCCCTGTCCGCACGCAGGTCGGAATTTTCCTTGGCCTCGTCGTTAATTACACTCTCTTCCCGCGTTAGGCTGATAGCACCCCTGGGTGCTTGGATGCCTGTCTATCGGTAGCCGCTGCTTGGCTATGGATCGCTCCGTCCTGTGGTTCCATCCGTTCTTTCTCAGCTCGGTGGTAGGTATAGTCCGTGAGAGACTGGCGGCGTTTAGTACCTATTTATATATATATATATATATATATATGGGACGCTTAGTTCCTCGACGGTCTATATCGTCTTCCTCCCGACGTTCAGGGGTCAGATGTTGCTGCAGACGGCTTTGCCGTAGGATAGACATAATAGTACGTTGTGTGGATCAATGGTGGTTTGGAAATGTATGTAGACGTCCTCGAAATACGTCGGGTATAAAATCTCAACAAGTCTCGACACAGTTTGCCTGGACAGGTCTATGCCGTGCCCCACACTACGTCCCTTTCATAGTGGTAATTAGTACATGAGTCCACCCATGCCTTCAGCAGACTATGGTGTCGTATGTTCTTCGCCGAAACACCCGTCGGGGTACACTCTATACTCCTCGTATGCTACTCCACCCCCCTGGTGGAGTGTATCCTTACTCTTTAGAGAGCTCCTCAGCTCTCGCCTTACTCCTCGGAGAGTTGACCATGTATCTATCTAAATGCATATTTACAAATCATACATATACGCATGTGACAGCTCTCACCCCTCCATATACGTGTAAACAATTATATCTGACTAGAAATGTACACCTACACTCACATGTAATTAAACAGATATCTGTATATACACATATACCTGCAAGATGTACATATGTATGTATGCATACACCTATGTATGTATGCGATTTACCCATATCGGAACCAATATATAATCAAGCAATAAGTATATGTTACCTCCGGTCATACGTAGGTGTAAATATAAATGTACATAGATATATAAATATGCTTATTCATATATGTATGAAAATATGTTTGGAAGTGCATGAGTTCCAAGTATAGATAGGGTTATATATATACAATTGTTTTATGTGCGCATACCGACACAAGTACATATGTGCAAATGTACTTATATATATATATATATATATATATATATATATATATATATATATATATATATATATATATATATATATATATAT